CCCCCCCCCCCCTTATTGTCACAGGCACCTCACTTCTACATTGCATTTGGGGAGGGAACAACCTTAGCAGGGTCTGACAGTAACAAGGGCCAGGAAGGCTGCAGGGGAAAGAAGCTGGGGGACCAGAGGGCAAGAGGGCCACCTGACCACTCTCCCCCATCGCTATTTTCCCCACTGTAGTAGTGGGAGAGTGATGAATTCAAGGCAATGCTAATAATTAGATTCTATACATGAAAAATTATAAAACAGATTATAAATTTTTCCATACATAGAACCTAATTATTGGGGGAGGTCATCTTGTAATCAGGGTCATCTTGTATTTGAGTAACTATGGTAATAATAAAGCAACATAAATGCTCCAAATTCAGGTTTACAAGGCGAGACCATATGCTTTAAGGTCCCACACTTGCTCCCACATTTATGCCCAAGTGGAACCATATAACTGAGTCACTACATTCTTCTTCCTCAATCCCAGATTTTACAAGAAACGCTTTGACACAGATCAGGAATACACGTCATTACAACAGTAAGAAATCTTGGATTAGGAGACTAAATTTGGATCCCAAAGCTACCAAGCACTGTCCATCATACAGCTCTGAACCCTCTGGCCTTCAAACTATTACAAGGCACTGACTGGACAGAGACCAAGCATGAAAAAAAACAAACAACCTGAAATTTTTGTGGCTGGGGTAAATTCAACAAAAGAAGAGCTATAGTTATGTTATAAGAAAAAAATTCACTCTACCTTCTGCATTTCTGCACACTCCTAAGTTCCTGAAAATTCAGTTTTTGGATTGAAATTTTCCACGCTTAGTAAGTGCCTGAGGGATAATTTTATCCACATATGTGCACATGCAACTGTTTAGAACACCTAGTAACCCTGCATCAAAATACTGCCTAGTAAAGTGGAAAATGTTACCATGCTTTAAGGGAGTACACATGAACAAAAAGTTGACACACTCCCACCCACCAAGTCACTTGAGTATACTTCAGAAACTGCTCCATCAATCCCAACTAATTAAAAGGTTGTCTTTAATATGAAGGACAGCCAAGGTAGGAGTCTGCCGATTAGTTTTGAAACCAAAGAGAAACCTGGGAAGTTGCAGCTAATCCGCACGAGAAAGACAACCTAGAAGCCCAAATTTTCAAAAAATGACTAGAGATTTTGGGTGCCTCAAGGTTTTGGTACACTTAAGGCACCTTGATTTTCAGGAACTGTTCAAGCAAAGACCCACTCTAAAAAAAAAAAAAATCATGTCCCTAAAATGGGTCAAAATCAAGCACCCAAAAATGGAGACTTTCAAAGAAAAATTGCTAGTCATTTGAAAAGGCCATAAATTTCAGATGCTTCCTTCTGCACAGAACCTGTTTTTTTTTTTTTTTTTTATAAATCAATCAAGACCTCTTCATTGGCTTCATTTCTAAAATTCAATTTTTGTTTTAAAGCTGAAGGGTAACTTGCTGTGTTCTCCCCCTTGCTCAAATGTCACCTTGCTAAAGAACCAGCCCCCACTCTTTAGCTAGAAGAAACTGAAATATTGGGATGAACCAAACTGCTGCTATGATTCAAAACTTAGACATGCTGTCAAAAAGTTTTTAGCACTTAAGAATAAGTAACTAGGTATCATGTTCACTGTTTCACAGATCAGGCATGTAGTTTTACAGAACAACCCTACTACTTACAGCTTCCATTAGGCCTTTCAAAGATGGTGTCTTTAGCATAAGTGCATCAAAAACTTCCTCCGACTCTTTCCGAACATACAGCAACACTAAAAGCAAACCAGGGAGAACATGATTTATGATATAGTTGTATCTTGAAGAAGGAACATAAGTCATAGTGGTAACTTGTACACTGTGTGGGGGAAGATGACAGGGTGTTGAGCGTGCCCTTCGTTCATTAAAAAGCACCAGAAACCTGAATAAGCTTAGTTAACCTTTTGTATTCTTGCTCAGGAAACAGGCTCATGTTCCACTATCCTGCACTTCTCTCTTTGTTTACTAGATAAAAAAGCTATCTTCAAAACACTTTAAAGTAAGTTAGAGTAACTGAAGGGTTCTGAACCACAGAAGACAGACCTTTCATAGCTAATTATGGCCCATAACATCCAGCTTGTCATCTGTCACACTAAATTACTGAATATAACTAATGCAATTGCCCACCCTAGCCTTCCAAATGTCCTTAGTATTATTTTGGTCTCTTGCAACCATCTAGAGATTTTTCCCTATTTCAGCCAGCCTCTCTCTCCTCTCGCTAGTGTTGTTTTCTCACTCTTGTTGAGTTCTGTTCTTTCCAGCAGAAGGTGAATTTGACTTCCTCTCCTGCAGAGAATGAAGCAGCATCCTTAAATTCTTAGAAAGTCATTATACACAGAAACCACCTCATTAAAAAAAAAAAAAAAAAAAAAAAA